CGATTATCCCAAAAAAAAGTGTTGCATGCCTATCAGCAGATAGGCATGGTGCACTGGTGCAGGATCAAGAATCAACGGAGTGAAGAGACACCACAAAACCCCATCCAGCGGAAGTGTGAAAGCTAACGAGCTGACTCATTAGACTGGGAACCCAGACTACGCCCTCATTATCATCACTCTAGGGGCAAGGAGGGAGGCAGGCATCCAGGAAAAGTCTCCTCCATGCGCAGCAGGCTGCTAGGAAAGTGAACGTAGAATGATAAGGGAGGAAGAGGAGGATGACATGTTGAAGACAAATGACGGGCTGTACAGCTGAAGCAATAGTCAGAATGATAAGACTCTCTCCCATCCCACAGTTGTCCTCACACAAAGGGCCTCGCCTCACTACTCGCTGCAAACCGATTTAGGGATGAGTGGCGGTGCTGCACCTATTCACCTCGATGGGTGGGGAGGGTCGGGATGTGAGTACAGCAGCAAGGCCCAATGTTTGACTGTGAACCTATTAGCAGGCTACCTGACACAGGATCTCTCATCCTAGTGCATGCAGCAACACTGTGCTACGCTGATGGTCGGGCCCAGTCTTGTACGACTTGGCCTATCCCGCTACCAACCGGTAGGCATCCCACTCCGTCCAATCAAAACCGTATCTAATGGCACAGGAGGAAGGGATTGAAATCCACGTCTAGGCCCACGACACAACAATAAATGATGTGGGGCCCAGCCAGATGCCCAGATTAGGCTGCATCTGCAGCTCCACCTACTGTACGGAAGTCTGTACCCATGCCTAACGGGCAAACTGCAGAAAATACCCAGGTTTGGAAAAGTATTTCCGCTCCCGTATGACCACAAATACAGATTGAAATACCGTTTTTGCAAACTCTCGAAGCAGATTTACGGGACGATACCTCCTTTCTTGACAGAGACCCCGTCCGTCTGGCCTGAGGCAAAAAAAAAAACAAAGAAAACAAAGAGGTACCTCCGTCCGTCTGGCCTGAGGCAAACACTCCAAGGCAGGCTGGTCCTCTGTTGCAAAAGGAGGTACCCCCTGTGTATTTGCCACGAAAGAAAGAACCGCCGGATATATCTGCAATTTGTCCCCTAGAAACTGGACCATCGTACCCACTGGTGCTTTTTGGGATTTGGGGAAATCCAAAACAACACCGACCCAGACTACCAAGATCCCACAAAAATTGTGAAAACAAGGCAAATCCGAGGAAAACGCCAAACAGGTCCTCGAACCTGGCGGGGCGAAAAATATCCTGGGTACAGTGGGGGTGCTCCAGCCAATCGTAGAAATGGCTCAATCTCAGTGTGCTCGGGGTTCTGGAGCCGCCCGCTGCTAGGTGACGCGCTACCAGTGCCTACCATAGCGCGTCTCACTGAGGAGCAGGACAGGAGCACCGTAGCTTTCACGGCTCGGCGACACCGCAGTCGCTGTTTATCTTTCCACTGGTTCTCTTTCCACAGGAGCACCGTAGATACTCTTTCACGGCTCGGCGACAACCTTTCATGGCGGCGCTCGTAGTGTATCAGCATTCAGCAAACACACAGCAATGTTCTAAGAAGAATTGGTAGATAGAGGCCACCCGGAACGTTTCCGATTATCCGTTCCCGTTTCCCAAGAAGGGCTAGCAGTTCTGAGGGGATAATTGGTGGAAAGAGCCCATGCCAAAACCCTGTTTTTTTTTTTTTTTTTTGCGTAGGATCCACCCCAGGGTCGGTAGCCTAAACCGTATGTGTTCACATAGCTCGTAGATTATTCCCGTCCTTATCGAGGGAGATGATAACATTCTCTGTCCTCCGTCAACACGCCAAAACCTCTGTGGTTTTACGCGCGCAAATTTAGGCCTGTAGTACTTCCGGCGCCCAAACTTTTCCCTGCGGGCCATCCAATTGGCCCTACCGGACCATAAACAGTGCCAGATTCATAATGATGTACAAGAGGCCAAGGGCAGTACCACGGAGAGAGAATACAAGGCCCAAGTAGGGTACCGGTTCATGAATCGGGCAGAAAATCAGCAGCAGATTCGCGGTCCGGTAAAAGCAGGCCAAACAAGCTGCGACTGTGACGAGGGCGCCACAGGGTCTTGCACCCAAGCGGGAAACGTTTAGGGCGGTAGTTCCAAACGCCCAGACTTTGGCGCGGGCGCTTTCCACCAATTATCCCAGTTTTGAGTGGCATAGCCCTCACTACAAGAAATTCTCCCGTTTGGAGGCGGGGAGGTACACCAAGGGCATTCCTGGCTAGGAGCATGATAACTCGTTTGGAGGCGGGGATGTACACCGAAGGCATTCCTTGCTAGGAGCATGGTAACTGCTTGGCATCCAATGCTTTGCCTCACTCCATCAGAGCAGCGCAGTTTGCGAGGAGCAGTGTAACTGCTTGGCATCCAGTGCTTTGCCTCATTCCTGTGAAGGATCTTCCTCCTACATTAAGCAATGCTGATTTCGGAGGCCGAGACCAAAGGCCATAATTGTAAACAGCTGTAAGAGAAATTGTTCGTTTCAGCCATCGTCACCTGCAATTGTACTTACGCAGTCAGCTTTTTCCACCGGTGACACTTGTCTGCATCAGCGTACCTTCAGTATGAACATCTTCAACCCTGTTCAGACAGTTCAGGAAGTGACTTGAGTGCTTCCATCACTACTAGTATTTTGACAGCTGATACGTGCCAAAGTGAATGATGTGATTGCTTGCAGGTACTTGCAGCTGGTGGTTGTCGGTAAACGATGACCCGCTCCCCCGTTCATGTTCGAAAGAACCACACTAAGGGCATACTCACACTAGGACCTTCCCAGGCCCGGATGTGTTCGACCTCCTTTCTGGCCCGGACTGGATGCACCTGACCGCAATTTGGTCCACAGAGAAGTGAAAAAAGTCCTAGTGCGAGTATGCCAGAAGCTCATGAGAATGCACTTACGCAACAGTATGCCCAGAATCACATCATTCACTTTGGCACGTATCAGCTGCACAACATCAATCTTAACAGGATCTCAGGTCACAGTCGGACGCCAGATCCATTTGGTAGGTATATATTGACAGCGTGACTGATGCAGAACATCAATCTTAACAAGATCGCAGGTCACAGTCAGACCGCAGATCCAATGGTAGGTATATATTGACAAAGTGACTGATGCAGAACATCAATCAGGATCTCAGGTCACTGTCAGACGGCAGATCCATTGGTAGGTATATATTGACAAAGTGACTGATGTGCCACCCTTTCTCACTTCTTGAGAGACTGTTGACCACCAGACCGCCTACGATATGAAATTTATCTACTTCCTTTGTAGCGACATAACCCCTTGTGAAGATGGACGTTTTCACTTCCCTCAAATCGAGTCAGCAGTGATTTTGTAAGCCCTCGTTACGTGCACTCTAGGAAGGCTCCGTCGCGAGTCAGTGATCTGGGATTACGGATTGCCGGGATTGGCGTGGGAGTAAATCTAGGGCAGAGAAACCAACCAGGATAAACAGCCTGCTTTCAATTCTCCATTAGCAACTTCAAGGGCATACTCACAGTACCTCTTTTTTAGATGTATCTGACTGCAGTTACGACCAAACGTGGATGCATGTGACCGGAATCACGTCCATAAATCAGTAAGGTGAAGATGTATACCTTCACAAGATCAGTTCTTTTTTCCCCCCAATTTTGAACGGATGACCTCGCAAAACACTTTTATTATGAAGCCGGAAATTTGGGACATCAGCTAAAATTAGAATGATACGCAGAGGATGTTTTGTCGGGAAAACCAGGGCGATGTCACGGTTTGTGTTGCAAAATGCAGTCTAGGCAAAACATGAAAATGTCGAATGTATACAACCTACCTTTAGGGTCCGGTGAGGGTGTGATATGTTTGAGCGATGCCTGAAATGCAATTTCAAACTGTTTTCGTGACTACGCCCAAGTTGCCATTTTCAGACATTTTTCCCCTTTTTTGTAACATCTGGCAGGCGGTTCCGACGACCGAGGTTGATATGAGCAGCCCCCGGTGGTAGGTCCCATTGATGATGGCTGCTGCCAAGCTTAGTTCCCTTCTCGCTTCCATTGATCAATGACTGACTGCGATGTACGAACTGTAGTTGGCGATTAATCTCTGCAATCTGCGTTTTTATGTCTAGCCACCTACTGGAGTAAAGCGTCTTAGTGACACACGGCCAGTGATCCTAACGCCGAACAGACCAAAATGGCCACATGCAGATGATGATAAAAATGATAAAAATCAGCTCAGTTTCCATGTCCGACGGTGCGCTTCCGTAACGGGTAATAGAAAGCATTCAATGCCAATACACTGGTCTGCTTCTCTTTAGAAGTCCAACCGGACAGTGACGGCAAGTTCCATGTAACAGGAACTTGTCAGGAACCATTCGATGTCAAAACACAGGACCGTTTCAGTGGGGAATACCAACTGGACAGACGCAAGGCAGACAGAAGTCACAGAACCACAACGCTTCACGACGCATGCAGCGGCCAGGCAAATCAGCATTGAAATCCGATGCCTCTCCTGACGTGAGCGAACCTCCGCATTCATACAAACGAAGAAAAAGAACAGAAACGAAAAACATACGTGGCAGGACCTCGAATCCAGACATTCGATTCCAGTTCCACTTAGTCCTTTCTATATGAAAATTTATAGCAGTTAC